TAATATCAGGCTGAAACTTTTATCCTTAAGTTTTGTGCATTGCAGATGGGTAGACTAGTAATTCCGCGGAGGCTGTTGTTGATAAGCAGGCTTCTACCTATTACCGATAGCGAAAAAATTAAAACATAACCTTCGTATCATCGTGCGCACTCCCTTGCCTATTGCTCGTTGCATGCGCGAGTTTGCTAAAGCTCAGTTTCTTCTCTTCAACAAAAAATAAGAGATTTCAAAAGTGAAGGAGCAGAGAAGCCACACTTCCTACCTACTTCATCAGCCCACCATCCTTTACCTAAAATGAGAAAGTCGGGCGTGCATAATCCTAGTTTATATGGCGTCCTTCGTACAACGGCCGATATTACAAGCTACTGGGTAAAGGAAGCAGGATGTCCAAGGCCTTTTTATCAACAACCAACAATTACAGCTTCATAATGAACTCAAGATGTTGACCAGATGATAGTAACATTTGATGCGGAATGCTTCTACATTCGAAGGCAGTGGTGATTTGAATTCTTTCTGACGTGTGGTCTTCTATACACATCTCAAAATTCCAGCAATCTTTCTGGATAGTTCGAAGAATGCTAGCTTAGACATAAGGATTATTCGGGTATAATGTTCCTAACTAGATTTAACTCCGCCGCTTTAACTGTTTCTTTCTGTTTGCTCACTAGTAACTCACGTTTTTCAACAGGAGTTTCGGGTTCAGGCGCAATGTAGTAATTCGCGACAGGAGAGGCTTGTTCCACTTGTTGTGGCTTTGACAATTCGATTTGCTGAACTCGATGTACAACCTAAAAACTCAAATTTTGATGTATACAGAACGAAAAAGTCATACCTGTCGAATGTTCATTGGTACGGCCTTCTGTGCAGGAGAAACTGGCTGCGAGATCGGGCCATCTACTTGCACTGGTGTCGGTGACGATTCGATCGGATAGTAGAAGCTACTGACGAAGCAATAATTGTTCATCATAATGATGTGAATCCAGTAGGAATGATTACATCCTACTTCCTAGCTTCCTTATATACGCAACCAAACTTCTTGATAATTTCAAAAATATATGAATATACTTTCATTTTCAGGGATATTTGGCAATATACCAGTGTGTCACTTCTCTGAAAAGCCTTACGTTACATCCTTACGTGGTTTGCTTTTCAAAAAAGGAAAGACTCTTTTTTGCTTTAGTTTTCGATTGAAATACCTAATAGCAGCTTTGCCCAAGAAAAGCCTATTTGCTAACTCATCATAGGCTACCTTTCAAAAAATTGAAAGCAAAACAGTGTTGTCCAGACTAGAGTGTGAAAATGACAGCGTGAACTTCTTGAACGTAATTTCCTCTCCAAAAGATGAACTTTTCAGTTCCAAAGAGAAAACTGATTGTCGGCAAGTAAGATTTTGTCGGTTGCAATAGTCCTGTGTTTCTCCCTTCACTCTGGAATTACTGTTTTAACATTTGTAATTACCTTCATAGTGAATTCGTTTCAGCACGAAATTGAAAATAATTACCATCTAAGAAGACATCAAGAAAGTGTCAAACGGTGGAGAATCTATATTTCCTCTTAGACATAGCTTTTCAGAGTCTTTGTATTCATTTTTCTAGAAATCTAAATCCAATTTCTTTTCTTTGGGTTACAATTAAATTCTGCAGGTTACCTGATACGATTTCATGTGATGAATGTATTTGTCACTGCCGCTGGTCTGATGAATACGGTTGGAAGGCTATTCTTCGAAGTGGACGAGCAGTCTCGTCTCTTTTACGTAGGTTAATCTTATAAGAGGATTTAACCCTAGTTTTATAATTTAGCTCTCATTCAAAAAAA